TAACGTTAGGCTTAAATCTAGATAGACAGTCCGGTGTAAATGGTAATAGATTTAGACAGGTTGATCCAGTAACGTTAGGCTTAGTCTTGTTCATATAGTGTTCGTTCTTGGAAATTCAGTCTTGATAATGTGTCTACTATATTTTGCGATATTGAAAGGTTTCTTATGTTATAAGGTCTTGATAGGGTTATCGTAGGTTTTACCTGGACATTGTTTTTAATCCGCAAGCATACATGCACTTGAAAGCGTCATTTATTTATTATCTTGTAGGGACCTTCGTATACTATGATGTAAAGGCAACGTCCGGCATTACCGTCACAGTGTGCAACATGACGACAAAAGACATGTTTGAACTCAATCTTACGGTAGGCAATATATTTATATCATGTATTTGCATTTAGTTTGATACTCTAGATAAATTTCGATGAAGTTGCTTGCACCATGTACACACATACGTCTTTTGTCATCAGCTGTCTGACCAGTCTAGATATTTCTTATTCGGATGATTTCATTTACCAACGTTTTATGTTTCCTTCTTCATTTCAATATTATTATTTATATTATACATGATATAGATCAAAACATGATTAAACCAGGAAAGTATCCACAAATATGCATGGCACGTATATCATAAACATACCATACCTGATCTGCATACATGTACATGATATCCTACAATCATCCAGTTCGGTAAGTAACCTTATACGTCAGCATTCATACGAGATTGCTAACGAATGGAATACATATATACAATTTTTGTAAGAAGAATTCATTACAGTTAAAACTCTGAGACAAATTGTATACATTTCTATTTCTGGTAACGCTTGTGGCATTCATCAGATGTTGAATAAACGAAATTTCACTATCGATCTAAAACATAGTAGGCAAATCTTTAAACATGTAAAAAAATCAAATAATCGATTTTTGAAACTCAGGCTATGGTAAAGAGTTTCGCTCTAGTTCAGCTCGCGTTCTTTGAAAAGATGATGAAGTCATTTTTGTTAAATTTACTTGTGCTCAACTAGAATTATCACCAAATAACTCTACGGAAATGGAAACGTATTTCTTCTATTTACAGCGGATTTTTTTGTATTAATAAGTATTTCGTACAATATATATAAATACGTGATCGGGTAAATGAACGTTCATGTATCAGCCTGAAATTTGCTCAATCCTTGGTTAACTCCGCCGGTATTTTCTTATTATAATGCCATTGTTGTCCAATTCTGTCACTTTCTATGGTCAGGTTGGGATGAAAATTCCAGTTCGCAGGAACAATTGTTATTGAGCAAATGCTAGTGTAAACTGTATGTGTATACACATTGACATGACATATGTTATTGTGATTAACCCTGTGTATCTCCATACAATATATTGACTATTAGCTCTTCGTAAAAATATCAATTAACTCAAATGTATTTGTAAGCTGTTTGTTACAGAGCGGGACATACACCATTGATATCACAGCGAGGAACTATATAGACAGTCATATGGAAGCAGTGTCTACCTCTGTGGTTATTCAAGAATCCGTCGTTTTAAACAGCGTTACGGACAACGGCGCCACGGTGGCTGTAGGCGCTGTTAAGACTATCATTCTTAACTTCAACACGGTTGGGGATCAGACATGCGTGCATATCGATCTAAATGACGGTGACTTCATTATACTTGGAGATTCCCCAACATGCTCGACAAGGTATAACGCCTCTGCGATATCAAATTACTACTCAAATATGGCATTGACGGTGGCGACTACGATTACTCATACCTACCAATACGCAAGCCGTTTTACGGTGACAGTTAATGCTTTTAATGGCGTTTCTGACTCTGCAGACACATTAGAACATGTTGTTGCCGCAACAAATTGTTCACTTCCACAGTTAAGTATTAAATCACCCGGATACTCTGATGATTTCCAAGTTCCTATTTCGTTCATGAGGAGTGACTTCATTATCTTGATCGGACAAACTATAATTAATTGTCCAGAAACGGAAAAAAATCAAAAAGAATGGTCGATTGTTCAGATTGACGAATATGGAAATACCCAAACACAAATTGATATCACAAGTATAGATTCACGTACCACCTCTGAGTTAGTGTTGCCTCCACGTTTCCTGGGGTTGGGTACCTATAAAGTCCGCTACCAATTGACAATGCTGCCTGGCAAAAGCACGGTCGATTTTGGAACCTCTGCCGATACGTTCATACGCACGGAGGCGTCGCCACTAGAGGTCAAATTATTTCCAGGGGGAGTGTCGAAGATCCAGTGGAAGCACGGAGAAAACTTGGTGATTAATCCGGCCAATCTCTCTACAGACCCGGATGTACCTGCCGGAAAAACATCGGTAATAATAGGGATAATACACATTGTCATCACGTTAAGTTAACAAATTGTTCAAAAAATACCTCCTCTCATTGTATAAATACTGGGTTTGGTTGTCTCCTCTGCCCACTGATAAAGGTATGTGCAGCTGCAAACTGTATCTCTTTTTCTTTATGGGATATCATGGGAAAAAATTATCCAATAAATATATTTGCTTTGTTGTATTATCAAATATTAAGCGAAATATAACTGCATTGCCCCCAGAAATATTTTGTTCTTACAATAAAACCAAAGAATCGAAGTCAAAAGAATAACATATATTGAATGTGGTGGGAAACGAAATGTTTAGATTTCTAAAGAAAAACAGCCTTAAAGGCAGTTTGAGTTAAAAAAAAAAAAAAAAAAAAAAAAAAAAAAAAAAAAA